GGGTGAGTTTTTGCGTCTCCGTCATGTGAGGATTACCACGCGTTTCATCTCTCTGCCGTCAGTTTCGCAATCCTAAACTCTCCCACAGCATTTGTGGACCTTTTTCCCGTATGACTGCCAGGCAGAGCCGCAGTCCTTGCAGCACCTGCCGAAACGTATTTCCACCTCTGCCGCCGCCTGTGCCCTGAATGTTGGTAATTTGTTCTTTCTGTTACGCAAAGCCCCGATTCGGCGAGCCCACACCAAATGCGTTTCAGCATCTTTTAACACCGGCAGAATCCGTCCTAAAAAGCAACGCGACACCGATTCGGGTACCCATGCGAAGATCCAACGACTCAGGACAGTCCGCCTCATCTTCCTGGGCACGTGCTCTTGAGATCGGGATAGGTCGACTGAGCGACTCATTGGTAGTTTCCATACTTATCAACTTGCAACGTGGAGATCAGAGCCCAACTCTTCGCTACCAACTAGACGGGTCTCCCGACTGAGTCGTCATTGGGAAGTGTTCTGGCCTCCCAACACAAGGCCCCAATAAGGCCCGAGTCTCTTTGCCGGCCCTGACGCTACACGCAGTGAGTCGTAGCAGCTGTGACAGAACAGTCTGGTTCTCCCGCTATTAGGGTGATTTGGACCAAGCAGCATTCTTTTCGAGATAAAAGATAAGGGGTGATGTATCACGGGCCTCAGTAAGGTTCAAATGTTTGCGATCGTGCTGGCGGTCCGAGAACCTAATCCTCTGCGACGACGTCGACCAGCAAGCAGGGACGTGCTCTGTACATTTCACGGTCGACCTGTTCATAGGTTTGGTTGTGCGTGAAGTCTCAACATACTCAAATGAGGTTCATGCGCCCCTGTGGCCTATGTGCCGTGGTACCTGTATTGTAGCACGTCACCACGACACACTGCGCGCATGTCATAGCTTTTCCGGACTTGCGTCCGACTTCATAACATGGAACGCTATGCTCGCTCACAAGAACGAGTAATGTACCTTTGTGTCCAGCTGTAGTCACAACTTTGACATAGGCGCTTTGTATATCTCAGCTGGATTAGAACGCTGCCAGAGACATGTGTAACAGGTCGTGGGTGCTGTATGAGAAGGGGATGTGACTGTGTCAGAAGCTACAAGTCGCTGTTCATTCTTACCGAGTCACGTTGTTCTCTAAGCATACTTGAAGGTATGACGGAAGGACAATGCGCTCATCTGTAGATGTGGTTAAACTGCACTCTCTGATGAGAAATTCGATGTATTAGTATTGGAAATTGACCCATTCCACAAGCTAATAGTTCATTCAATGGAAAACAAGCTCTCTGTTACCTGCAACCTCTACATATGTAAAAGACGAGATCTTATATCGGGCTTCTTCATAGTCAGTACCTGACATGGCCGTAGCAATGACAAACTCAGCATGGCTACGTTGGTAGGTATTCATCCACGAAGAAATTGGGGTAGAAACATTCAAAGCCATCATCGCTTTCGCCTTACAGTATAGCTCAATGTTCAAAAGATTTTAATAACCTTCGCAAAACTCCAGGCCAAAGTGCATGTTCTGTTGTTCAGCGTGCAGATGCGCTCATCAATGACCACCACTAACGCCAAGCCAAAGCGGGCTAGCGCCGCCCACCATGCGAAATTCAAGCGAGCCCGAAGAACTCGAAAGTCGAGAGCCTCTTCTTTTCGCGACAACTAACCACCAGGTCAATCACAACAGCGATCATGTCGAGGCCAACCGTCACCGTCGTCTCCGCCAAGGGCGAGGTCACCAAGGACACCGTCCCCGTGCCCAATGTCTTCAAGGTCAGTTCCGCCGCAATTCGAACTTCGCGATACGATGCAAACCACAACCGGAGGGACTGAGGGCTGCGACGGCTGCTGGAGGAGTGCACACATGGGAAGAACATCGAAAGAGCGGGGACACAAGTGGCAGCGGAGAATGCTCGCATTGAGCTGGACTACGCAGAGTTCTTCCCATGATGCGGCCTCATGAGAGTGTAGCGAAAGCCGCACTTTTTTGGCTTGTCTGCTTCTCTCAGTCTCTTGGATATGGCTCTGCAACGCATTCGGACACGCTTCAGGTGTTTTGGCCAATGCTAATAACTCTTTCAGGCACCCATCCGCCCTGACATCGTCCACGCGGTGCACACTGGCATGAACAAGAACCGCCGCCAGCCATACGCTGTGTAAGCCTACCTCGCGCGCTGCACAACCACACAGTCTAACAACAAGCAGCTCCGAGAAGGCTGGTCACCAGACTTCTGCCGAGTCCTGGGGTACCGGTCGCGCTGTGGCCCGTATTCCCCGTGTCTCTGGTGGAGGTACTCACCGTGCCGGTCAGGCTGCCTTCGGTAACATGTGCCGCTCCGGTCGCATGTTCGCTCCCACCAAGGTCTGGCGCAAGTGGCACCAGAAGATCAACCTGAACCAGAAGCGTTTCGCTACCGCGTCTGCGCTCGCTGCTTCAGGAAGCCCTGCTCTTCTCCTTGCCCGCGGTCACGCCATCAGCACCGTCCCTGAGGTTCCTCTCGTCATCTCATCGACTGCTTTCGCCGATGCCGCCATCAAGAAGACCTCCGCCGCCGTCGCTCTGCTGAAGGCTGTCGGTGCTGGTGCCGATGTCGAGAAGGCCCGCAACACACGCAAGGTCCGCGCTGGTAAGGGTAAGCTCCGTGGCCGCCGTCACACTCAGCGCCGCGGACCCCTCGTCATCTACAACCCCGAGGAGGATGGCAAGGAGCTCGTCCTTGCTTTCCGCAACATCCCAGGTGTCGAGACCTCATCCGTCTACTCCCTGAACCTCCTCCAGCTCGCCCCCGGTGGCCACCTCGGTCGCTTCATCGTCTGGACCTCATCCGCTTTCAGCGCTCTCGACAAGGTCTACGGATCCACCGCTGAGCCCTCAGCGCTCAAGAAGGACTACCTCCTGCCCTCCACCATGATGAGCCAGCCCGACCTCAGCAAGATCATCAACTCCAGCGACGTCCAGAAGGTCCTCCGCCCCGTCCGTGGTGGAGCCGTCTCCAAGCGTGGTGTCGTACAAAAGAAGAACCCGCTCAAGAACTTCCAGGTGCAGCTCCGCCTCAACCCATACGCTGCTACCTTCTCCAAGGAGAAGCTCGGCCAGAAGAAGCTCGAGCAGGGCAAGCCCGAGTATGCCACCGAGACCTTCCACGAGCTTATGCACGAGAACTAGATGGTTGTTGGTTAGCGTTATGATTTCCTAAGGTGTTCTCTCTTCGGCTGGGATGGACTGGAATGATGAATAGCTATGACAAATGTAGCTCTTCACAAAATGCCTCTGAGAAGGTTTCACTTCCACTCCTACTTATGATCATTGAATCAGGCGTTGCATTGATGAGGTCCGTCCACATGTTGTGAATAGTTGTTCGTAGTAATGTGGTTTTGCATGATCGTCAGTATTCCACTGACTGAGATCTCTTCTAAGTGCACTCTCATGCTAGCAATACATTTCCCAAACGCCGTCGCTATGCTTCAAAGTTGCCCTCTTCGCGAGAACAAGATCTCACTTGAACAGACGCCTTCCACCCGTCCTGCCCATAGTCCTCTCCACACCCTCCAGACTCATGCCCGCGAATCCAGCACCTCCACCATCCCGATCCCTCTTGTACCTCCTCAACGCCTCTCTCAGGTGTGCTGGTGTAAGCGGTCCCTTATCACACGCCTTCAGCCTATCCTGCAAACTAGCATCCTTCTCCACCTCCTTCCACAGACTCTCCGTACGATCAACCTGCGTCGGATACCATCCCGCACTCGTAATATCGGAATTAGTCGGCCTATTCCTATCATCCTTGATATGAGCACTAGGTCTGACCAGACTCTGACTGAGGATGGGACCTGGCAAGTTGGGGTTGGGCAGATGAGTGCGGACGGCGGACCATTCGTCGCGGACGGTGAGGGCGCGGTCGATGAGCTCGCCGATGAAGGTTTTGGAGTAGGAGGTTACGGCGATGATGATGGGTTGGGGCACGGATTGGGAGAGGGTTTGGTTGACGAGTTTGCGGACGGTTTCCCGCTTAAGGCGGATGCGGCGGTAGGTTGCGTAGCGGTCCATTTGCGCGGGTGTCATGAAGTCTTCTAGCATGCTGTTGGATCACGTTGTATTAGTAAACGGCTCTGAGAGGGAAATGGTAGAGAGTGTAGAGCAAGGACGTACCGTTCGTATTCCTTCTCCTGCTTCCTGCGTGCTTCAACACTCATGCCGCCTTCGATTTCCATGCCCATTTCCTCGCCCATCTCGTCATCGTCGTCGTCTTCTGCTTCTTCTCCACCGTCGCCATCTTCGTCTTCGCCTCCGATTGCGCTTCGTCCGTCGGCGCCCTTGCCGCCTCTTGCGCTTGAGCCCGCGACACTGCCTCCGTCTCCGCCCTTCTTCCGTCGCTTCTTCCCTCCTACGCCGTTAACGACGGATGTGGTGATGTTACTTTCCACGGACGGTGAACGCGAGAATTGGCGCGGGGAGCCACCGACTGATTCGGCATCTGGGGAGAAGGCGTTGCGTAGATTGGAGGGTTTGCGCTTTTTAGTGGGCGCGCCGGAGTGAGAGGATATGCTGCCGCGCTTGCGACTGCCGGGGACGTTGAGCTGGGGGATGTGTGGTGGTGAAGCCATGGTCGCGCGATCAACAAGAGTACCGGCCTCTTGTGCTGGCGTCGTAGTAATGGGGGGTGGTTGGGTGGGAAGGCTAACTTCTGCGGGTTGGATAATGGAATGGGCCCTGGGGAAGTCGCGATCTCCGCCAAGCAAAATGATGGAGCGTCGACTAGCGCGTTTTGTGCTCGGAAAGCGCGACCGGGTGATTTCGTCATCGACACTCGGGAGATGGATACTTGCGCCTGTTGCTCTCATTCAGCGTCTGCGCTCTCGACTTTCACCATGTAAAACGAGATAACAGCAGGCGATCTGCCATTAATACCAATTCACACGCATAACGTTTGCCATCTTCACTTGTATCGTATACCCGCATATAGTCCAGCGTGCCTTCAAGATGCCGTCCTACGAAGAATCCTACGGCCAGCAAGCCGCCCAAGCAGCAGGCACAGGCGCGACCGACACCGATGGCGCCGTGCAAGCACCACCCGACGCACGATCTACCTCTGACCTCCCACCTGCCGCCCTCGACCTAGCAGCGCGCCTCTTCGACCTCGCCCGCAGCGGGGACACATCGACCCTCTTGCAATACGTCAGCGCCGGTATCCCCAAGAACCTCACCAACTCATCCGGCGACACACTTCTCATGCTAGCGTCATATCATGGCAAGGCTGAGACTGCGAAGATGCTGCTAGACAACGGCGCGGACGCGAATGTGCTGAACGGGAGGGGTCAGAGTCCTATTGCGGGGGCTGTGTTCAAAGGGTACGATGATGTTGTTAGAGTGCTGTATGAGGGGGGTGCAGACGTAGAGAAGGGACAGCCGAATGCGGTGGACTGCGCGAGGATGTTTAAGAGAGGGAATTGCTTGAAATTGTTTGGTGTCGAGGAAGGAGAGGGGACCGTGGTGGATGTCGATGCACATGCTGTGTCGTAGTGGAGACTCCGCAGTGTTGATGATGTGTACTAGACTTGCTCACTCGTTCAGGGCCGGCACAAGAATATCTAGAGGGTATAAATGAATTACTGCTGAAGCTGAATACTCAACTCATGCTATCCGACTCAACACAAAATCTGGCAATCTAATCCTTTCGAAATAACCTTCCTGCAAATCATGGTATCATATCATCGTCCTTCGGCCCCAACTCCCTACTTCTTCTCTTCCTTTCCCTTGCCGCCGCCAAACATGCCTCCAACGTATCCACCAGCACTCTTCGCGCCGCCAGCAACACTGCTCGCACCCCCCTTTACACCATCCGCAGCACTTTGTCCATACCCACCCAGTGGTCCTTGACTCTCAATAGAGTTTCCCTTGTCGTCCTTGCCGCCACGCTCAGCACGGTTGATACCCTCTTTGGAGACGGCATCACCGAGGGGTTGTGCTAGGCCTCCCTTGCCGACTTGGCCGCCGACGAGGTTGTTTACGCCGTCTTGGAGGTTGTCGACTTGGTCGATGCCTGTGACCTTGGTCTGGTCGAGTTGTTCTGTGGGGAGAAGTGTTAGGGACGGGCAGTCGGGTAGAAGGTAGGATATAAGAGACGTACGTTTGGTAGCGTAGGATGCCTTGTTATCCTTGGTGAACCACTTCAGGTACTGGTCCTCGATCCATGGCATCCATGTCTCGTACTTTTGGTTGTAGTACTCTCCCGCGGACTCCCTGTAAGTCTTTTGCGATCCCTTGTTTTGGTCTGTCATCTTGGGCAGTATGAACACTGTTTATTAATCGTATTGGAGTGTAGAGATAGTGAGGTGGATTATTCGTAAGGTCGTGTGTATTTGCATGTGAAGACGCAACACACAGATCAGGCAGTCAGCCATATATACTCCACCTGCATGCCTGCGCCTTCCCGTGTGTACGCCATCTGCGCCAGCGGTGATCTCATCCTCGATCACTTGCACCGTGCTTGTTACAAGTTTGTGGCCCGCTGTGGTGGCATCGAGACAGGGGTTGGTGCGTGGATGGGTTGCGCTATACGTCATCTGAACCAGAAACCCAGACCAACTGATCGTCCCGCGTGGAAACCTGCATCTCGGACAGCATCTCTTGGCTGGACGGCCGCCATTCAAGTTATCTACGCGGGGCCAAGGGCGCCTGGACTCTAGGGCTGGGTGTCTGTTGGGCTCGGCTTGATTGGTTCGTGGGGTCGCAGATTGTGTAGGCGGGCTTTGGTGGGTGCGATGACTGGACGCTAGCAGCTGGCTTCGCAGATGAACGTCTTCAACCACCTGCATGCAAGGGCAGCGGCGCAGAGATGCTGATCGATATCTAACGAGAGACATGTACAAGCTTGTCAACATTGCAGCGTCCACCGCGGTGATGCTTAGGTGGGAATGCGTTACAACAGTCACGACACGAATACAATACCTAGGTATCCTCAGCAACTACAGCCACGAAATCTCGTACGGCATATCGCGACACGCCGTCATCTCGTCGCAATTCTTTGGTTCTATCTGTATACTCGCATTCCTACTTTCCTGGCGATGTGGAAGGCAGTCAAAAGGCCTGTACCCTGAAGAAATTCAATGTGCTCTATCATGCACATTTGCATTCTGAACTACGTTGAGTATCTCTACGATCTGGTTTACTAAGCACGGTAATTATACAGAAAAATGGATACAGTATACGACCGCCGGATTAGGCTGGACTTACAGTCGCACTTTCCTCACTCACTGCCGATTACACAACGCTCCTTCACTTGTTAGGTCTTGGCATTTTTCTTTCTCACCGTCCTCCATCGCACATTGAATTATCCACAACACCATCGTTCATTCACAGTCTTTCCGCCACCGGCGGCGTTCGAACGCTCTATGCGATAAATAGACTTACTGTCGCTCAAATGTCTGACACCGACCCCGCCGATTCTGCGCTTCTCGTCGAATCGCAAGCCATCGAACAACTCAACCGCGCAAGGCGCCAGCTTCGTCGATCCAGAAACTCTGTTCGTGCGTCAGAACAGATACTCCAGCTACTCAACCGGCTTGTGCCCAGCCTCACAATTGACGAGCTTCGAGAACTTTCGCAAATTCAACGGAGCATGGCGCGTAACTTACGTACACGAGGTGAGGCTACCGGAAATACAGGCGAAGGCAATAATATTGTTGTTCCAGTGTCTGTACCTCAAGCCCAATCCGCTCTCAAGCCTGCCACGACGCTTGTTTCTATGCTGCCAAAGACCCCATACAACGAGATGAAGGAGGCAGAGGGGACCGTGAACACACCCGCTTATACCAAAGTACAACTGGCGCTCTTGGAGTACCTTAACAAGTAAGTGGTACACACGTAAGGACTGATGTGAGAGATGTACTGACGCTCTTTAGGCACGCATCCGAGAAGCTCACGGTCCGGCAAGCTCATAGCTGGACAGAACATATTGCAGACAACTTGCATCCCGCTGCCAAGGATGCGCTGCGCCTCTGCTACTACATGCGCTCGCAGGGCTTCGATACGTACGCCGATGTTCGGGATGGCTCCATCGAACTGTATCTCTCCAGACAGGTAAATTCAGGTGTCCAAAATGTATCCGAGGCGTATACTTACCTCGTTCACAGGCACCAGAGAAGGGTCGCAGCAAGGCTTCGTTGTATTGGAAGCAGAATTACTCGACGAACGCCATCGAGCACACGGTATCTGAAGCATATGTACCACCCCGTCCGGCGCGATACGACGATTTCATGCCCTCGATGGTCTCCGGGGCTCAACTTCTGAGTGATCTCTTGGCTGGGCCAGATCCACGTATCCCTCAACATGCAGGTGGCCCTGGAGAGGATGCTGGAGACCAGGCCACTCCGGTACCGGAGGGCGATCAAGCACAAGAAAACGTTGAGCCGACCGAGCATAACGTCGCTACTATGCTCGCCGTCGCTCAAGCGGACTTGGAGGCTCAATTCTTGTCTGATACCCCGGATTCAGAGTATGTCTTCATCCCTTTCCAATTAGTGACCCCTACTAACGATTTGTGTAGCGCCGTTGAAGCTCTGCTCGCCCGGATTGAGCAGCTCAATAGCCAGGAATAAGAGGACTGGGTGGTGCCCGAAGATGTGGGACGGAGCACTTTGAGGACTACATGGGTTTTGGAGAGGCACTTTTGTGACATTTTCGTGCCTTGTAGGCTCCAGCATGTACTTCGACGTAGTTGCGAGGTTATAATACAACTCCATCTGTCACTAGAATCTTGGCAACGGCCATGCTCGCGAGTATTTAACTCTGCCAGCTTTCTGCTCCCTTGCTCCTTCAACTTCGTACCACAGTTCAAAATACTAAAGGCAAAGGATATCAATGTCAGGACTGCTGAGACCCAGAAACAAATACATCCAGGACTCATGTGTTGGACAGAACAACTCAAAACTCTGCAAGACAGCGAAATGTCCTAAATGTATTCGAGCTGCTCTCCAAATAAACCCCGCGCAAAAGCTATGATTGAAATCGCGCCTCCTACACCTCAGTATTCATACGCGATCGTGTTCCGTGTTCCGAAGAACATGTTATCCAAGATGATGTGTTGCTTCTCCGTCACTACCGTCTTTACGTACCATCTCTTCTCACTCAGTATATAAAGTACTTCCACGGCCCTTTTCGAGCTGTCATTTTGCATTAGAAAACACATTTGATACCCCAAAACTTCAGAGAGTACGTGTGATGATCTTTCGAGAGAGTCCAAAAATCTACTACGTCTCACGCATGTCTTGGCCGCCACCAGCGCCCTCCAAAATTACCGGAATAAGATCGCATGTCTGTTCAACAGCCAAACTTCATTCAAAATTGGGCTCCAAGTTCAGTTTAAGATACCCATACTTTTTTTCGTAGTCTAGGCAAGGACGACTAGCGTGCGGCCACCATATATAAAGAGCTGGTCTCCTTCATTCCTCCAACCCTCCACTAACACACAAAACGTGCGCCTTTCCAAATTACCAAAGCACCAGACCAATGTCTTCCTGGAGTAGACGTACCAAAATATCCATTTCCAAGCACATGCTCTCCGAGAGAACTGGCCATGACATAGTCTTTTGCCGCGCAGAAGGTATGAAACGATTGTTACATGTGTTTGGCTCGACGAGAAAAGCTGATATTGTCATATCTCAAAACAGCGCCTTCTTTGGTAACATGCAGAGCAGCGCGGTAATACTTCGTAGACGGCGAAATGAGAAAGTACCAAAAAACGAGAGTCTACCGTATGATGGTCTGGATAAAGAAGGACAGTAGCTTTTCTAAAAGCCGTGTAAGGAATCCAACATGTTTCTCCGTCTTCGCGTCTGTGGCACGTGGATATAAAAACCATCTACTTTCATTTGCCTTCTCTCTCTTTCTCACACACTCTCGTTGCAATCTCAATCGAGCTGCAAAATACCAAAATACACCTCATAATCGTGCCATGGTGGGAGTCCGCCTCCAAAATCCCGAAGACAACAATTCGATGTTCCTCGGTCTCCGCGTGCGGAAAGAGGAATATTGACTGAGCGATCTAAATCTCATCACCAAATGTCTGTCGATGTCAAGATGGTGTTTCAAATGTACTCAGAGTGTTCATGATGTGCGAGGGCATGCGTGCGTCAAAGGCTAACGTTGCGGCTATGCGATGTCACGCGAGAACATGATGACTGTCAGACATCAAAGACGGCCTAAACTCGTCAAGTGATGCAATACTTAGCGACATCGACTTCCCCTCCCACCCAGTTGAAGCGAAGTATGTGCTGTGCCACACTGCAAGCAGGGATTAGAGCGCCCCATACCCCGCAGCAGCAGCAGCAGCAGCACCAACTCACAACGACAACAACGACGACTACAATAAGCGGGCCACATTTTGTGAGTAGGTAAGCACCTGATGGAAATTGGTTGTTAAACAGAGTACTGATTCCTTGACTTCGCGCAGACCTGAACGCCGCAGTAGGACCGGCTCTTTGATTGTCGAACATGGTTTCTCAGGAGCCTGATCAGGCCGATACTACATCCATCTCAGAATTAGACGATGCTAGCATCTACACACCTACCGTAACCACCGAAAACGGTACTCCAGACCTGAAAGACCACGCCTCGACGAGTTGGGTGCCTTCCGATGGATCTACCGTCATCATCCGCTCTACCTCATGCGGCAATGTGCTTACATTGCTTGATGGGAACATCGTACTAGCGCCACCTAGCGGTCGTGGATCCATCCTGTGGGAGTGTGTAGAATCTGAAGGCTGGTTTGGATTCCGAAACTGCGTGTCAGGCAAATTCATATGCCATGGTTGGGATGCGAGACTCAAGTGCTCAGCAGAGCAGCAAGATGGTTGGAGACACTTTACTATTACTCCAGTGCCAAAAGGTGGCTACATTATGCAAATGTCGGACTGGTGGACTCTTCGTCCTATAGTGATCAATGCCCAGAACGGGGTGCAAAAACTGGGGAGGACTGGAAACAAGCTGTCTGAAGGAGTTGTGTGGAACTTTTTGGAGAGTGGGGCCGGTAACGCTGAATCTCAAGATTTGTAATAAGTAGGTCAGTCTCCTCATAATGAAGGCAAAGCCTTTTTGGCCGCCCCCTAACACTGTACCACAACGTGTGATGTCACAGAACTAGAATTATGATGTGTCACTTGGAAGGCGCGCGTTCCTGACACTTCCTCGACGATGCGATCCAGGCGTTGCGCTAAAGCTTCACGCGTCGTTCATGAATGGTAATAGTGGATGGGCACGGACGTGTCGCGGACCGCTATCT